GGAAAGCAATTGGTATAAAAATGCAGGAACAATAAAATCTGAAACGATGGACTGATATTTTCAGAAGAAACAGTCAAGCTTGAGACAATGCAGCGGACATACATTATGGAAATCATCAAATTGTATCACGATGCAAGCCCTAAATTGGAATCCTGAAGGGACACGGAAAAGAGGGAGACCAAAGAACACACTTCGTTGAGAATTCGAAAGAGATATCAAAAGAATGAATAACAAGTGGAAACGATGATGGAGACTGTTGGTGGGTAAACTAAACTTCTTCACGTGGGGTAAGAGGCGTATATATATATATATATATATATATATATATATATATATATATATATATATATATATATATATATATATATATATATATATATATATATATATACCAAGAGAGATCAAAGTAAAAGGTGACACCGAGAGAATTAACCTTCGACACTGTGTTTATCTAAGACTCTACAATGGCACAAGCATTATGGAATCTCAAAATGGTGTTTAGATGCTCTTTATATCTCATGCTTAAGTTAACAGCTTGACATTAAGACGGATTATGTATAAGACCATTACCAATAGACCAATAATCAATACGAGACGAAAACTCATTCATTTCTATGGGATGTAAAGAAGAAGAGATAGGCATACATACAGTGAGATCATCCGCATATTTCACAAATGTGTTTTCTGTGGAAGATGGCAGATTACGCAGAAAAAAGAGAAAAGAAAAGGTCAAAAAGAACAGCTCCTTGTGGTACACCTTCATGAGATAGTAGAGACTCTGGACATTTTCCTCAAAATACAGTGTACTGTTCCCTTCCAGAGAGGTATGAACATAGCCAGTTGGTTATCCAGCTGTTATTGTTGACGCTAACTTGTTAATTAAACGTTGTCTTGGTATAGAATCAAAAGCTGAAGTATAGTCCAGAAAAGCCCATCGAACATACTTCTTACCCTTTGATAATGACATATGCTTGTTACGGATCTTATTAGATCTCTTCACTGAATTACATACTTCTGATGTTATTGTAAGATACGTTAAATTACATCAGTATTAAACCAAACTTTGTTAAATACCTTCCAATACAACTAAATACATTATATTATACATAACTTATTTCTGTTTAGAAGAAGTAGAATGATCCTCTTTGTTTAACCTCATACCTATTGATAATTTACAATGTTTGATTTACACAAAATAACTTGGATTTAAACATAATGATCAATTTTATAACTAATATATATTCAGAGTTAATATCTGAATTGTATTGTGGCGACCTGCTTTAACAACTTAGCTACCTGTTCCTGCCATCTGGCTATTTCAACAAGTTATCTGTTATTGCCTGTTTGTTATAACAGATCATTATGTCAAATAATAACATAGCCTATTCAGATGAGTTGATGAAATGTTTACGACCTTTCGCTGTATAAGTTACAAAAAAGCCTAATCAAAGACATCGTGGTTACTGGTAATATGCAGCGAAAACAATGTACATTATTTAGATATCGATTGACTGAACTGCTAACATCTAACTGACGATTCATCAATATTGAAATCATGGACCTATTCATTGAAAACCTGGGAACCGTTTCGTCCAATTGTGGGACTCCTCAGTAGTGCACATCCACGATCCCACTCGTGGTATTTGAACCCAAGGCCTTCAGTCTTGCGCGCGAACACTTAACCTACTAGACCACTGAGCCAGTAGGCATCCAATAGTGTTAATTTCTAACCTCTATCAATCCACGAAATTGAGTGACTATCTTCCATTACAACGAGGTAGATACTTGTCTCTACCCGACACGAATTAGCTCCACTGAACACGGCTTCTCGGTTCATGATCTCAAACTAAAACTTAATAATCTCCACCACCTCTATACTGATGATCAATCAATATGTTATCATCAGGATCAGCCAAAAAATAAGAAAAGTTTCTGAAATACCTTACACTGAGAATTCTATATTATACCAAAAACTATGATATTGAATAAAGCTAATAAATAATAAGTAGTCTATTCAATTAGTAGTATCATGTTTTTCATTAGAATAAACAAATCTCAGAATATAAAATCTTTAATATTGAAATGAATATACTATTTAATATTCATTATCCTTATGAATTTAATTGTACAATGGATTAGATTGTCCAAATAGCTTTTACTTTAAAAGAAATCTTTCATTAATAAATAAGAAATGGATAAATTCTAATTTGATTATTCCATAGTAATTCCATTTCTTCGTCTTCTTCTTCTAGTTGTTGTTGTACAATAGAGAAAATTCATCTAATCACTAAGTAAGTGTTCTGTTATACTTTCTATTATTATTTAACATGTAGTGTTGGTTACTATGTTAAACTCACATAACTTATTCTAGCTTCAGGACAGACCAATTTATTCATTCTACTTGAGTCACGTTTTCACTTTGTTAATTATTCATTTATCTACCTTGGCTGTTTTTATTTATGAGCGTATGTGCAGGTACACTCTTTATCCTATTTATTAAATGTCTGCATCCTATTTTGATTAAATGGAGTTGGTTAACATGCCTTCTCGACAGCGAATTATTTCGCTTCGTTCTCATTTCTTTCCTTCGTATCTTCATGCGTTTGTCTAGATCAATGATTGTACAAGTATATACGTATACGAAATCCATTCTCGTATTTAGTTTATTTACTTCGGTTATTTAATAACGCGATTTAAGTCGATAATTATATGTACAACAATAGCTTAGATGTGTACTTCAATAGAGATCATTCATACAATCTAATTGAAGTCAGATTTACAACTACGAAATACATTATGATATATTTCTTGTGCTTTGAAAAAAACGGTCATAAGTACATCAGTCAATTGGAAAACTTTAGATACTAATTGACTAATCTAAAGAGAATTTAAATCTATCTATGTTTTTGAGTATAATATTAATAAGAAGTTTAATACTAGTGTAGTGTGTGTACTACTGATGTCGATAGATATAAGTAGTATGTATCACCGGTCAATACTGATATGTTTAGTGAAAGGAAGTTAAGAAGATCAAAGAAGAAAGAACATGAATAGAGAATGATTTCTGTAGAAATAAAAAAACAATGAAGTCTCAACCAATTGATTGACATTATGCAAATGAATTATTTACTGTATGGTTTTACTAAAATGTTCTGTAATTTTGTATACAAGTACATTCAATTGTCTCCATTTGTGTTCTCGTCCAAATGATTTAAAAATTTATTTGGTAAAGAATTTTTCAACAATCAGTATCAAGAAAGATTCCAGTTAGTTTAGCTACTTTTATCTATCGTCTATTATATTGAAAAGTCATGAATTCGTCTATCAATATTTCCAAGGTATAAATAATGAGAAAGATAATTCAAACAGCATTTTGCAAAGAAGTTGAGGCTGTGAGAGACTAAGGCTCTCAACAGTACAATCACTTGGTATTTACGTGACACCAGGGCATATCATCAACATCCCGCATGCTTTTAAAATTATTAACAAACAAAAAAGTACGACTGCTCTCCATTTCGCTGAAGCGATCGCGATAAAATAAAACTTAAACCGGATTTATATATTCAAAAAGAGACAGTCGTAAACCTATTATTACCCTGGTAATCCAACCTTTTTTGTTATGTTAATGTGGTTATTTTATTCATTTATTTATTTTAAAATATTTATTTTGTGTTATAATCCACCCCCATTACCTAATTCTTAGACCAACTTTTCATTCACACATTTCCGCCAACTGATCCTCTTAAATTATGTTAACGTTTCATATTCTATTTACTTATTATTACGTAACCCATCTTATCATTGTTTTGATCCCATGACTCCTTCATTATCTCTAAAATTAGCACACAATTTATAAACTTCATCCACCACCCATCTTGAATTATTTCCTTATTTCTAATACCAATTAACCTCTGACCTGCTTATGTCATTTCAGTTATTCACATTGATTTATGTCAACTGTTTCATACTATTTCTTATCTCCATGTGAAATTCTATTACATATTCTATTACAACTGATGAGAAACGTCGAAATATTATGAATTCATACTATTCTGCATCAATGTTTGTTTTGGCTTTATTTAAATTCATAATGGGAACTAATTGCATGAAATGTTTTCATTTCATTTGACATTGTTATAATTTGTAACCGCTGATATGGGAAAGCATGAAAATAGTTACAGGCTACCATTCATAATTTATCAGTTCAAACCGATCTAAAAAAAAAGGTGGTCAGATTCATTAGAATGTTTTTGTACATTCAAAAAGTAGGTAACCGAAACTTTGGACTTAATTTTTAACGGCTAATTTTTCTAATTAGTCATTAAGACAATGTTCAGAAACCACTAAAGGTTACATTGTCGAATCATAGAAACGATGAGAATCGTTTATATATTTGAAATATATTTTAAAATTTTTGTATTCAAATACATTCGATTGTCCCAACTTGTGTGTTCTAGTTCACAACATTAGGACAAATTGGTTTTCCAGTTTTTTGTTTTCTAGTTTTTAATGTAAGTTAATGTCACTTCTTAATGCAGACTATGAATTAAAGTTAATTCGGTAAGGATTCCATTTCCATTTAACAATTATTAACCAGTAAATAAAAACATTCAGTGAGACTATAGTTTATGGACGAACCAATCAGATAGGTATAAGATAACAGGTCACCGATTTTGGCCTGAAATTCACTCATTCATTTGGTTAAATAAAGTTTTAATATCATGATAACCCCCCCCCCCAATTCTAATTTCTAACCTTAATCATCAACTGTAAATCACGATTCTAATTCCTTACACAGGTTGATAACCGTCATTTAATCCTACTTATTAGATGAACATTCTTAAGATCACTTTAGCATCTTTTAAAGTTCGTCCATAAATTATAGTTTCATCAAATATTCCTCAAAATCTTTATGAAATAAACTATACAAGATAAAAATTGTTTGTATGAAAATTTTTTTTGTTTTTAAAAAAAAAATAAGCGGGAACTTTGAAACTTACTTCCACATTGATTTTTTTCTGCATTATATCCATATATAAGTAAACTGACCAATATTATTATTGTCCAAATAATAAATTTCATGTTAATGTTAAAGAATAAATAAAACAAAACAAAATAGAAACTAAATAAGCATTGAATCACTAATCTAGCTTGACTATTTATATTATTTTTATATTCTTATTTGACCAATCAGATTTGTCGTTGCACAACGTCATTTGATTGGTTTATTGAATTCAAAGAAATAGTGCGCAATTTATAAATAATCAATAAATGATTTTAATTTTTTTTCTAAAAAAAGTTATTTCATGCATGATTGATTGTTTATGTTTGTTTGTTTGTTTTTTTAGAAAACGATCATGGATGAATGTGAATATGTAGCCTAAGTAATTAACTTCTATATCAAGAGATGACCATGTGAATAGAATTGTAAGCATGACGTAATCACCGAAGGAAAAATGTTCACTTATCCATTTGACAATGTAATACAGTATATTGATTGAAGTTGATATTATAAACAATAAGACTGAAACATCTACTGACAAATTAGTCAACGTATATATATATATATATATATATATATATATATATATATATATATATATATATATATATATATATATATATATATATATATATATATAAGACAACATATTTCTAAGGCTGTAAGTTTGTTTGTTTGTTTTTCACCAACATAGTTAAAAACATCAGCTGATATTTCCTTCTGTTGTCTTTTCATCTAAAAAATATTGCTGTAGGATACCTACAAACAGTTTCAGTTTCAGTTAGGAAAGTACGGGAGGCTTTATAGCTTATGTTAGCAAGGGCAATGATGGTCTCTCAATTGATCCAATCATCTTTTGAGAGAGTCAACAGATTGAACTTTAATCACGTGATGAAGTAATGAATTCCGATTGTTAATGATTTGATGAGAAAGTCAATAGTCAATTGACAAGTAATTTGTTCTGGGTTTGTGAACGTTTTTGGAGTGTCCTCGTAAATCCTCTGTTTTGGAAAACAAGGAAAATGAGGGCAATATCGGATGCAAATTTATTACTAAGTAATTTAAAAACAGTAATACAATCTCCTCTAATTCCTTGATATGACAACGAGAATAGGTTTAGCTTAGTCAGTAGAACTTTGCTATTCCGAGAATCAGCTTAGTTGCGGTTCTTTGAGCCTTTTCCAACAGTACACTATCTATTTTTAAACAGAGGCTAGCCATTTGCATGCAGTACTGTATAATAGTGCAATACTATGTACCATGTCAAAAACGTTCTAGCGTCAACATGGCTAAACGCCCTACGTATTTACTATAGCGTTTTAAATGCTTTGGCGGCTATTGTACGTCAGTATGCAGTAGTTTTTAAGTCTTGCCTAACGATGAATCCTAAGTCATTGTGTATCTTGACAACAGGAAGCTCATTATTCTTCACTATGTATGTATCTGTACCTTGATGACCAATTTACGTTACTATGCACTTGGAAGCATTTATCAATTTGTTTATAAATTAAAGTCCATCAGTTAAATGTTAGTATGCAGTACCGATTGATGACGTCAGAAAAATGAAGTATGTTCAATTAGTTTTCTTGATTCATTCAACATACTATTCATCTGATCATTCATATGAGCTTAGATGGGTTCAACATATCAGCTGATGTTTTTCATATACATTAAAATATATATTTAATTTAAAATAAAAGTATAATTTAACATTTTAAAACTTTGACTAATTCAATGTAATGAGTACAATCACTTACATCACAAGTAGTATATGACAATAGTTCGAAGAAAAAAAACATTTCAAAGTGTATCACTCGTTCGTTAATCATCTTTCTTTATTAGGTATGTTTTCTTGGTACAACGTCATTTGTGAATGTGTTTCCTTGAAATAACAATCATCTGTGATTCATACATATATGCAATTTAGATCATTGTCATTTTGAAATTGAAATAGTTGAGATCATGAGCCAATTAAAGTTAGATGAAAATGTAAAATTTGAAAGCACTTGACGGCCTTTTCGTCCTATTATGCACCTCCACGATCGCGCCTCACGTGATACAATCTTGCGCTCAAGCGCTCAACCACTAAACCACTGAGCCGGCATCCAACTGTGTTAATGTCTAACTTCAATTAATCCACGAAATTAAACGACACATCCACCATTGTCATCAGTGAGTTCTTATCTCACAACTGATCCGATTGAACTCCACTATTCACTGTTAGTTTGGAGATGCACATTACGAATAATACAAACAACACTAAGACTGGAGATATCTCTTGACAACAAGAATCAACTGTCATGAAACTGGATATCCAGAACTTCTTCTTGACTGGAAACATTCATGTGACATACAATGTTCAATTGTGTAGAGTACTACGAAAATTTCAACTTGACTGATGAATATTTTTATTAATCAAGACTAAATAAACATGATATTGATGTTGATTTCATGGTGACATTGTAAAATTTAGTAGAAATACTTTTTTGTTGATACATTTTAGTTATCGTAGTGTATAACACTGATTTCAGAAAACTATTATGTCACAAATATCATGTGATTTGTAAAAGTAAAGATTTCATTTCCACAACTTTTAAAACTGGAGATTTGTAGATCAGACGTCAAATAAATTGACTAGAATGAACTCCAGTTAGTTTTCAAGTTTTATTTCTGTTGAAAATAAGTTTATAAACACGCGGTGAGACTATAATTTATGGATGAACCAATCATGTATAAGATAACTGGTCTCGAATTTTGGCGCGAAATTCACTCAACCATTTGATTAAATAGAGTTTTGGAATTATAACTTAAGTCAGTTCGTGATGAAAACCCTAAATCTAATTCCTAACCCTAACCATCAACTGTAAATCATAATTCTAACTAGTTTATAACCCTCATTTAGTCCTAATCAGTAGGTGTCCATTCTCAAGGTCACTTCAACGTCGCTCAAAGGTCATCGACAAATTATAGTTCCACCCACTTACGACATTTTTTGACAATAAGTACACTCTAAAATTCTGTTTTGTATGATGGATGTTAGTGGAAAACAGGATTCTTGCTTCATTCGGCTAAAGAGTTGTAAATAAAATGAGACTTTCTTAATGTGTCTTATTACTAGCAACTCCCTGAAAATTGTTCAACTTCGAATTGACGATCATTTCAAAGCATTGATTCAAGGAATCCATTTCACACTAGATAATTATCAAATATATTCTTGTATATTAACTAACATTAAGCAATTACAAATTTTAGCAACTACTGACAAGTATACCAGAGTGTATTCACTTTAAATGGTATCCATTTAAACAAAAGTTAAATACTTAAATCCTTTAGAATATTCGAAACTTGGGGAAAAATTAAAAAAATTGACAAGGGGTCGATTGTCTTAAAATGATGTAATCAAATCATAAGTAAGAGTCGAACTTCATTATTAACTTCTTTTATGTAATGTATAACTAAACATTGCATCGTCTCAACACACTGTTTTGTCTTCATCAAATAGATGGAAGTTATTCCTCATACCAGCACCAAAATGTCCATTAAGTTTGGCGAAGATGCACTTGTTATTCCTGAATTCCAAATAAGAGCATTACAGCAACTACTCTATAACCAAGCCCTTTTGATTAACTTACTTAACAACAGACAATGATATTTGAACAGTAATATTTCGCATATTTTTTTGTACTGTTATGATCAATAGATCATATGACAGACCCTAGCTGAAATGTTAATTGCTTAACTATCAGTCAATGATTTATCCCTCCACCCTATGTTTTGCCTTATTGAGCCCTTATGCAATCTGACGACTATAAATTTACCTATGTAATTACCCATATACACTTTATTTGTCTCTCTGCTTACAGCTTTGTGTATCAATGCTATTCCCATAATAAACTGTAGTTACCGCTTCTTTATGGCCTTCTGATTTATATAATAACCGTTATCAAGGTGATCAATCAACGAAGTAAACCCACTACAATAATGTAATCAATCATGAAGATAAATAAAAGAATATCTTGATTGATTCTTACTTCTATTATAAAAAAAATAATAAATATCGTATGATAGATCACATTGGGGAAAAATAGTTGTCCTATAACTCATGAATGTAAAATGTATATCATTTTCGATCTCAACAAAACTGTCTATGTACATTTGAATGTAGAAAACGCCCCAAATTAATTATGTTATGTATTAAAACTTAGAACTATAAAGGAAGGCCCAGGACAGAGTGATTTGAAGAATGCTGGTCGGTGGTCTATGCTTCATTGAGACTAACAGGCGTAAGTAAATAAAGTAGGTAAGTATGTATTAAAACCCACATATATAAATTCGAACTATTGACGAGTATATATTCATACATACATGCAAATATGTATACACACATGCTTTCAAGCACTTACATAACAAAATATATGAAGAGATATACAAATCTTAATACGTGCTTAAATTAGAAATATTGAAAGGAATTCACCGTTATTATTGACAAAATTAGTTGAATAGATCAGTGTTATTGTATTTAACCCAAAAAGGCTATAAAATTCGCCATATTTTATACAGTTTGATATTGAATAAAGATTATCTACAGGAGAATTCTTACTTACTTACTTACTTACTTACTTACTTACTTACTTACTTACTTACTTACTTACTTACTTACTTACTTACTTACTTACTTACTTACTTACTTACGCCTGTTACTCCTCGTGAAGGAGTATAGGCCGCTCACCAGCATTCTCCATCCAACCCTATCCCAAATTCTAGTTGAATTAACCTTTGTTATATCCTAATGAAGAATAAATTATGGGTAACAACCAAGACCTAATAATGGACTTATATTATCTTTATATTGTTATGGTTTAAATATTCAGTATGTATATCTATATTCCCCTTATTATGAATTTCATTTTGACTTATAGATGATTATTATACGATTTACCATTCTTAAGTTATGTTCAGTTTATTGACTATAGTCTTCCACAATCACTTCTACAGTCAGTTTTCGGCTTGATCTTGTATAAATGTTATTTCTTGTACGATACAATCTGTTTGGCTGATATATAAACCTGATATATTTGAA